TCATTGCTGCATTTTCATACGACCAATCACCGCCAGAGTTGTCAGACAGCTGAATATTAGTTATACATCTCGACTTCAGCCCTAGTGAAACTACATTAAGCCGAAACTAGTTTAAAGTGGATTTAATATAGTTTAATATAGTTTTAGCCCAAACGGGCTATTAGTCTAAAAACGGGATTTTGCGTCATCCATTGTAAATGTATAATTTTAACTATTTAAAAGCAGTTCTTAAAAATATTACTTTTAAACTTTTAATCTGACAGATTTAAATAAAAATGCATTTAATTCGTGGTATTTCTAATTAAAAACATTAAATATATTTACGGAATTGCACTACATATTTTTTTTACGTTTTAAGTATATAGAAGATATATAACGTTTCCATGTTAGTCTAAATGCATATTAGTATAAATGCTTAGTGTAATGCTATTGCACTTTGGCAATTTCTATTGATGATATTCGCTGATAAACCATATTGAACTTTAAAACAGCCCTTTTTGGACGAAAATAAAAATTTGAACCCTTGCAGATTTTTAATTTTTAAAAGGATTTATTTTTATTATTTAACTTCGTTTATTCTTATTGCCAAGTCTCAGTATGTGCGTGTGTGTGTAACTTGAAAATTGGATTTATTCTCTACTTTTCATTTCTCCCATTCGCATTTCCCACCTAATTCATTATCAATGTATTTCACGCGTTCTCTTATTTAATTCTTTAGAGAATCCAGGATTTACTAATTTAACCTCAGATGTATTTTTCTCAAGGATAACTAAGAAAAAGCAACTTTTCAGCTGATTATCCACTAAACCAATTGTCTTCAAACTGTGTTCTTCGGAGTTTTAGGCTGCCATGCGACTAAATCACCAAAATCTGATGTCTACACCACATGACTTCTTTGCGCTGCCTATTAAATTATACGCAATTTTTGATGCATTTATTTTAATTATATTTCCTCGAATTAATTTAAATTAATCGATCCCTCAAAACAAGTTGAAAATGACATCAAAAATTGCCTATTCCGGTTAATTTCAAGTCAAACTTCTTAAAATTATTTTTTAACCAGTAGAAAACTTTCCCAAATATATATTATATTAGAATCTCGGCATGACATGGAAAGTTAGATTTCGTTATTTTGTCAAATAGTATTATTTTTTATAAATTTGACCTTCCTCCCCTAAAAAATTACTATTTTCGTCATCTAAAACAGAGATCGACAACCAGAGGTGCACGGACCATTGGTGGTCTGTGATAACGTTTTGCGGGTCCGAAGAAAAAGGGACATTATTTATATTTTTATGAAGATTCAGTTTAAAAAACGACGAGTAACAAAACCTATTATGGAATATCGATTATATATTTTTTTAAATTTTAGCTACTACTTTTAACGAAATTTCTTATGAATTTAGCGACGTTTCAGCTACTTTTGCAGGTGTATCTAGCGACAATTGAAAGTGAGAGTTGGCATCCATGGATATTCTGCTGTTATCAATATTAGCGAGAAATGGAATTCTCTCTCCTTTTGAATTACAAACATATGTTATTGTAGTCGTTAATAACACAGTTTTTCTTCGTGTCAATAGGCAGCTTGATGGATTTTTATGAGAACCATCTGCATTCTTGTTTATAGCTGCATCACTGGAAGTTTTCGTTTTTTTTGTTTGTCTAACTATTGATCGATGTCTCCATTGCTGAGTAAGCGATGATTATTATGTTTACAATAATTAAAAATTGGACCGGTATAAACACTTATCAGTTTATTGACATTGCTTTACTTTTGCCGATTTGGTCTTGCTTTTCGTGAAGTTCCTTTTCAGTGATATGGAAAGAAATGTGAAGCTTCCTATACAAGAAGGTTTTACCTTTTTTTTTTTTTTTTTAAATTCATATTAGTGGTCCGCCAAATATAAAATTATATATGTAATGATCCGTGAAGTCCTAAGGGTAGACGACCGCTGCTCTAAAACACTTGTAAAAATTGTAAGTGAAAAGTAATTGAAAGTGTGTGACTGATCAACGATTGCGAAAACAAAGGCCGAATAAGGACTGTTAAGATGGGTATACCCATATGCAAAAATTTTTAAACGTTCTACGATTAATCGTTTTTTGCATTTATACCAGATACATACATATGTACGTAGAGGCGTCACGAAAAAATTCCTTTTGAATCCATTTTAGGTAACTTTTTCAATCCATTTTGGAAAAAAGTGCCATTGTAAGTATAGACGCCAAGCAAAAAATCGTCCAAGTGTAGACAAGAGCGGTCGAAATGGATATTTTCGTTGTAAATCATAAATTAAATAGCACATGGATTGAAAACTTAAACCACTCTAAAATAAACTATTTTGTATACCTGCTTTCATGAGTAAAATTAGGGACGATGAATAAGAATTTGACTTTTATTTTTCACATAACATGCAATATTGCTTTACACTTATTTTTTAAGGATGAAAATTTAACAAAAACTGTAGTTTTATGATGCTACAAAAGCAAAAATTAGTTTACACCGAAAACGTTCATTGAAATAGATGAGAAAAGTAATCAATGAAATATGCATGAAAGTATTCTGATGTCGCACGTATATGTCTTGCGCATCGGGAACTTTTCATTAATCTGTTACTACAAGTAGTACTTTAGAGTCGGATTTAAGTTGATAACTCTTTATACTCATGTTTTCAATTTTATCGTTACATTGCATTATATCTCTTAATCCTATTTACCTTTATTAGAATTCATAGTCGTAATAAATTTACTTAAATATAAGTAAAAGCACGTAGCAACGAAAGCAGAAATTTTGAATGCCGTACCTGGATTATCATATAACTGAAAAGAGAATGAGTTTTAGAAGAATTACTTCTCTGACGCTTCTGGAAGTACATTTTATATTTTAATTATGATTACATTCCAGCTATCTCCCTTTTCGTGAAATCTTGTTTAGTAAACTTTCACCTAAAGCAGAGAAATGGAATCTAGAAAAAATGTAGCTTAAAAGCACTTTTAAACAACATTTAAATTTTATAAATGTGAATCTAGACAAAAGTCTTTATTACCATAGAACTGATTTTACCCTTGAATTACATAGTTTAGGAAGATATTAATGCTTCGCTGGTGAATATAAGATTCAATGCTTCATGAATATTTAAAACGTTTTTAGAAAATATTTTATGTTACAATTCACTGCAGTAATATTAAAGTAAGCTTACCCTCCATTTTCGCCAGAAAATGTACGTAAAAAATGGCAGATACCATAGCGTGAAACTATTATTGCCACCTAAATAACTCACGCGATGACAAAAAATAGCTTTTTCAAAATGCATTATTCGTAAACATTCCAGTTTACATCATTTAAGGAGCAAGAACTTTTCATAGATATGAAATACAGTAGCGATTAGAGAGCCAGAGTGAAGGATCAAATACTTAATAATTAAAAATGTGATTATGGTATTAAACAAACTCCAAAATAAAAACTGTTTTACAGACTCTAATAAGGAAAATTTAGACGTTAGTTGAAATACTTTATGTATAAATGAGGAAACATTTTCTAATAAAACTATAAGCCCTATTGCAGATTCCAAAAGACCCAAATAAACGATTAGGACGATTGAATAAATTGAAACAGATCAGATGAGCACTCCAATGACATTTGTGGTTGGTGTGTTTATATAAATATGAACTGACATGTTTATCCATGAGACACACTTAAAGATTTTTTACTTGCAAAACAGATCTTTTTTTTCCATAGACTTAGGTGTTACAACGATATTAGTTCTGAATGTAGTAACTCAACTATTGTTTTGGAAATTTGACTTCTCACCGACCATGATTCACTTATGAAGTTAGCTTACTACATACACGTATATACATGAATAAATAAGTATAAGTACTACATGTTTTGAAAATCCATTTCATCTCATCCAGAGAAATTAATATTTCTTTATTACAAACCAAAGTTGTAGATTTTGTGCACTTTACATTTCAAATAATAGTCCTTATGTTTGTGCAGGCCCACCAGCGGCCGAGCGGTAAAGTCGCTGAACACTGGTAGTTCGGTCCGAGGTTCGAATCCAACAAACGGGTTGGCTGCATGAGTGGTTTCGTGGTTTTCCCCATGCGTAACGTGTATACGAGCCAGTTTCCCTTAGAAAGTCCTCCACGATGGCATCCCTCCCCTTAAGCAGATAGCCCTAGTGGGCTTTGCGATAATTAAATACACCACCACCACCTTATACGTGCCACCAATTGTGATACGTAGATTAATCGTTTTTGTGATCTTTTTAAATTAAGTCTTAAATTTCCACCTACAAATTTTGTGGAAAAGTACAGAATACCGATATGAATCATATTCATATTGGAAACTATCGCGGATACTCTAAGAAAGACACAAAGAAAATAAGAAAATAGACTGCAAAAAACAGCATAAAATGCTTTATTAAGCAAAAAATAAGAGTACAACTACTGGTGAACACGAAATACGGTTTGACAAAAGCTGTTCAAATTTTTTTCACTATTTACAGTGAAGCATGCTAATACCGACCTCGTCTGGATTTCCAAACATTTTAAAAAATAGTTGAAAAATGTTTCCTTGGATTAGCAGCAGGTTGTCGATTCCCGACGGCTAATCCATAAATGAAGTGTACGCCCAGCATTCATGAAACGAAGCACGTTTTCCGCAAGACGTCGCAAGCATTAATGAAAAAGCCAGAGTTCCAACCTGATGGCGGTGGCATACAACATCACCTATCCATTTCTTGTTTTGCTTTCCTACACGAATATGATTCTTATTGATATTTTCTCTCTTCCTCGAAGATTATATACATAGTTTTGAGATACCCTGCACATTAGAATTAAGCAATCCTGTATTTATCGAGCTCGTTAAAACAGATTTTAGACAATTTTTAAAAGCGAGAACCTTATCTTAACAAAATATAATATATTTAATCATCAATTATAATGACATATTAAAATCCTAGTTTCATCACAGATATATAATAATAAACTTACCTTAATTTAAGAGCGGTATAATTTATCACATTTACTTGATATGAAACACCCAAAATTTATTTCTCTTGCTAGCAGTGGCACGTAGATATATATTTTATATAATGTCTTTTTCTCATAACTCCAAATGCAAAGTAATCTCTGAAAATAGAATAAAAGTAATTCATTATTAACTTGTATTTAATTGTAAAAAATTGAACATGCTGTATGAGTGTGGTGCACAACTTAGTTTAATAGGTAACTGTAATTTACATTAGTACAATTTACCTTTCAGATGCTTATAACAACAAAGACAAAAACTATACATGAGTAATCTTACACAACATTCTTAACTGTGTCTTTCATGTAATGTGCACAACTATAGCGAAATATTAAAAAAGACAAAGTTAATGCTCTGAATTTCCTAAAAGACTTGACCTAAGTCTTAGACATGAAAGGTAAGTTCATAATGAGAAGGATAGCGCACTATTGTATTGTAGAAATATTTCCATTTATACCTTACATATTTATGAGCGAAAATATTTGTTTTCCTCTCTTAGATATTCAGTCATTTATAAACAAATATCCAAATAATTTGATCTCGTTATAAATGCATCAGATGTTAAGCTTTATCAAAATTTTCGCCTATAAATTATAACATCAACTTGTCAGGCATAATAGTTTTACTTCTATTCCTGAGTTTAAATCTTGATACATTGTTTTCTGCAAGTGGTTTTATAAAACGTACAAAATATATTTATTTTTAGATTAATTTTACTGTAAGCTATTTATTATGAAACATTGTTTATATGTAAATACGGACAAAGTAAAAAGCATGAAGGAAATGTATACAAATTTGTGGAAACTGTTTTTGATTGAAATAGGGCTTTTTTACGTGATAGATATAAAAAAAGAAGAAAAAATTAATTTCAATATGTTGAGTAAAATAAGAACTTGATTGAAAACAAAATTTCAGTTTTAAAGATCCCCCGTTTGTTTCTGCATTTTGGAATCTAGGTGTTATGCAATATTAAAAATAAATTTTCTTTACGACCCTTAAGTTAAAAATAATACTTGTTACGGATATGTTACTAAGAGGTGTAGATTGATTTTTTATTAGCTCACGAATAACTGAATTTTCTAGCATTGAAGTTAAACTGCTGCATGTTCAATCGATTGATTACAATGTGCTCTTGCATTTCTGACCTATTTCGAAAACGAACGGATTTCGTCGCGTATTAAAACTTAAATTTTTTAATCGCTTGAAAACGAAATATGTTCTTAGAGTCTACTATATGATCACCAGAGGCTGACCTTCATCTGGAGTACACCTTGCAGTGATATCTGCTCCAACTCAAGTACACTGTTATATATCTACGTAACCTAGTCTAAAGTGATAAAACACGACTCACGCCATATTTCATATGGCACTTATGTATTATTGCAACCACCTTAGTAGAAGTCGCCAAATTTTCAAAAAGTGTCAAATTCTGCATAATAATTCTTCAGGCAATCAAACTCATAACAACCTTTCAGTCAAGTAACGACCAATATCGTAAGCATTTTTTTTTTTTTTGTTTAATGCCAATTATTATTATTCAATATGGACTGCAAGTCCAACTGGTTTTATAAAGATATGTGATATTGTTTACGATAAAATTATTTTTATAATATATGCTTGTCGAATTTGCCAGCTATGAAAGAAACTGCGGGGAAAATTTCTGCAGGAATACAGAATTTTGCCGTAAAACCTTTCAAACGAATAACGTTTTAAAGGAATAAAGTAACGTTACCGAATATTGTTTACGATAAAATTATTTTTATAATATATGTTTGTGGAATTTGCCAGCAATGAAAGAAACTGCGGGGAAAATTTCTGCAGGAATACAGAATTTTTCCGAAAAACCTTTCAAAGGAATAACGAGAATTTGCCGTTTGGTAGTTAGTCGAGCTTGCCGAGGTTTGCGAGATGCTGCGTCCCTGCAATTCTCTGATGTTTTTGAGCGAAAACAGATCTATGTATATTTGGGGCGAATAGCGTAAGCAAATTACAGGAAGATTTGGAAGTGAATGTAAATGTTCGGTTTCAAATGCATCACGTAATTCATATTTAATAACTAAAATCTGTGCTTTAAATTGCTAAAGTATGTTGAGTTTTCATTTGTTGACAATATTTGCCAACTGTTGATAAATTTTGATATTTCGGAAATCTTTTTAAAAGGTCACAAAAATCACTAACTTTTACCCATCAAGTATTTTTTGCTTTTTCATCTGTAAGTAATCCCCAAATTGCACCAAGTAGGTTGCGTTAATGCGTAAGTATCTTTCATATATATTTGCCTCAAGATGTGCCAACCAGCGCATGAAACATATCTTTATTTTTAAAGGCCATATATTTGTCCTGCTAGAAATGGCTGCCTGGAAAGCGGACTTGCTAAATATGGTGTGACTCTCTGAGCAAAGTATCCTTGTAATTCTATTGCCTTCAATTCTGCTTCTCAGATGTCTTCAGTTTTTTTTTATATTCACTTATATTGACTAAAAGTTACTTCTTTAAATATTGCTGAGTTATATTCCTCACCACTTCTTCACTCCAGTTAACTTACACAAACACAATTTAAATTTCAGCAAACGTTTCCTGTCTACTCTTAATAATAATAGTTTTAATACAACAAAAGCAGTTGTTGTGTAATTTGAAGAAAAAGGCTAGAGGGCGCTGTTGCTCGCTTAGTTGTGAGAGAATAAAGTTTGTTCATGTTGAAGGCGGCGGCCTAAGAATACGCTCTGTATATAGTAATTAAAATATTGTTTAAAATGTAAAAGTGTTAAAATTAGTAAACTCACTGAACCACCATCATCTGATTTGGAGATGCACATAATTATTAAATGGTGCATCGGCGTAAGGAATTAAGGCTTTGTGAAGATTTTAGGTGTTCGATCCAAGTGTTTCGATTTCAATGGATATTTCATATTCAAGGTGACAATGGAATTCCAAATAAAGGTAGGGAAATCTTAAATTAATTATTTAGTGATTATTTGTAGTACATTAGTAAGTATTTATTATTGCTGTCGTGGGTGTATTTAAATTAAATAAAATGGAAGAGAAGTTAGATAGATAGATTGAAACGTAAACGTTCCACATTGAGATCGTCTGTTACTAGGTTAATTAAAGTGATTGAAGATAAATTAAAAATTGAAGGGGAGGAAAATTCGATTAAAGAATTACGAGAATTGTTTGAATTATTAACCGAAAAGAAAAATAATTTGAGAACGCTTGATGATGAAATACAAGAGTTAATTGATGTTAACTTAATTGAAGAAGATTGTAGTATAAGCGAAGAATACAATGACAAATGTATAATTGCTTGTAGTCAAATTAAGCAGTTTCTAGGTGCGGTTACCGCAGTACCGCCAGCGAGGAATCCCCAAAGTTCTGATTTAAACCAGTCTAGTGGTAATGGAATTTTGCATGTAAGTTCCAGTTCTAGTGGGAGTAGTACGCTGAAATTACCAAAATTAATGATTGATAAATTTTGGGGAGACCCCAAACAATGGAATGAATTTTGGAATAGTTTCGAAAATTCGATACATAAAAACGAAACGCTTTCAAAAATACAAAAATTTGTATACTTAAAAACATTCTTAACGGGACAAGCTTCGAATGTTGTGTCAGGCTTTGAGTTAACAGAAAGTAATTATGATAGTTGTGTAGCATTACTAAAGGACAGATATGGTCGAAAAGACCTGATCATTAATTCATTCATGAATAAAATTCTCAATTTAGAAGCCGTTAAAAATTCTGCTAACGTAAAGGCTTTACGTAAATTATATGACGAATTAGAAGTTTCGATTCGTAATTTGGAAACTTTAGAAGTAACTTCTGGCTCATATGGACATTTATTAATTCCAATATTATTAAAATTAATTCCGGACGATTTAGTTTTGGAATTTAATCGGCAAAGAGGATCGAAAGATAAAGTTGAAGTTTCGGAATTAACACAATTTATTAAAACGGAAATAGAATGCAGGGAAGTTTCAAATCTAGTATTAAGCGAAAGGAAAAATCCTGTGCCTCCGCGAGTCGATCAATCAAAATATGAAACTAGAAAATATGTAAAAAATACACCCACGGCTGCATTTCATACTGCAGTTAACCGAAAATGCATCTTTTGTGATAATTTGCACGAGTCATTTAAATGCGAAGTGAATGTTTCTGATAAATTAAAGAAACTAAGATCCGAAAACCGCTGCTTTTCTTGTTTTAAAAAATTCCATACATCAAAAAGGTGCAGAAATAAAACTAAATGTAATAAATGTGGCGGTATGTATCACAATGAATCGATTTGTACTAATAAATCCCTTGTAAACAAAAAGTTGGAACAAGGTTATTCCAAAAATGAAACTGAATCTCTGACTTTGAATTCTGAGGAAAGAAATAAAGTTCAAAACTTAAAATTGATTGCTTCTGTTCCTCAAGGTGATAATAATAATGACTGTAATGCCAGGGGGAAATATTATTACAAACTTGTACAGTTTATGCTTGTTCTAAGTATAAATCAAAATTAACTAGATTAATTCTTGATCAAGGCAGTCACAGATCCTTTATAACGAAAAAATTGGCCGACCATTTAAAACTTACTCCAATCCGTTATGAAAGACTTTCTGTTTATTCATTTGGTGCGACGAAGGCAATGAATCATTCCTATCCGGTCGTTGAAATCGAAATTCAGAATTGGAAACAAAATAATAAAATAAAAATTGAATGTTTGATCTCGGATGTTATTTCCTCGGCGTCCATCAGTGTGCCTAGTAAACAAATTGCAGACTTCATGGAGCATATGGGGTTGCAGATCGCCGATTGCGCAAGAAAAAATAACATAGATGTTGAGATATTAATTGGAGGGGATGAATTCTGGAATGTAGTTTATTCTGAAAGAATTAAAATATCTGAAGGGTTGTACGCAGTCAGTTCTGTGTTTGGTTGGGTTGCCGCAGGAATCGAGAAAAATAAAACAAACAAAAATTGTTCTGAAAATTTAGCGGTAATGACAAACACTGTTGTGTTGAAAGATTTAAAAGGTTTTTGGGAATTAGAACATATGGGAATTAATGATTCTGATGATTATTCCGATATTGACTGCGAAATAGTAGACCAGTTTGAA